GGCGGGGAGCGTGGGGTGGGGGGAGGGGCCGGGGTCAGGGTCAGGGGGCTGGGTCTGGCTGGGCGAGGGGCAGCCTGTCCCCCAGCGCGGGGACCGGGCCCCGTTGGCAGGTCCCGTGCTGCACCCCAGGTGTTGTCGGGGAGCCCCGGGGGCGGAAGGGGCCTCCCGAAGCTCCTTCCCGGCACCCTGCCGAGGTCTCGCTGCGCTCATCGCCCAGGGAAGAGGTGCAGGCTGGTAGCTTGCCTGGAGGGGACGGAGGCGGGGGACAGAGGTCCCTGCTGGAGGGCTTCCTAAGAATGGGTGAGAGAAGCCGAGTGGCCTGGGCTAACCCCAGCTAGCTGCAGTGGGAGGAGAGGGCTGCTTCCTCCAGCCTGGCCCCAGCAGCTCCCCAGCAACCCCTGGTGCTTGCACAGGCACAGTGGAGCCCGGGGAGGCTCCGGAGCAAACCTGTGAGCATCGTCCGGAGATGCTGGTGATGGCAGCTGGGGCGGGCGCAGGCTGCACTGCTGGGGTCATGCTGCAGATGTTTTCTTGGGAGGCAGAACCAGTTGGGGAAGCTCCTGTTTCATGCCTGGGGCTGTAGGGTGCTGGGTGAAGGGGGTTTGGGGTGCCCCTGCCCACAGGGTGGGAGATGTGCGCTCGGAGGAGGGTCCCTGGGCGCAGGACCCCCCGCCGGCCGAGGGCTGCTGCGTCCCCATCGCTGCCCGTCCGTGTAGGTACAGGAAGGCTGCGCTGAAATGGCACCCGGATAAAAACCCGGACAACAAGGAGTACGCCGAGCAGAGATTCAAGGAGATCGCCGAGGCGTATGAAGTGCTGTCAGACAGTAAGAGGCCACGGTGCTGTCTTGCGTGTCCCCCGTGCCCTTGGGGCTGCTGGGCCTATGCGGGTGGCATCCCTGGATGTCCTCGGGAGGCAGCAGGTCCCTCCAGGTTTACTGCCCAGCTTGTGGGGCTTGCTTACCTCCCCACGCATCCCCCAGAACGGCTCGTGGGAGAGATGCTGGGGAGCTGGCTTCTGGACTGAGGTCTCCCCAGCGAGGCTGAGGGTTGCGGATCCTTTCCTGGTGCCCTGACCTGGGTTTGGGAGCAGTGCGGGGGGGGGGGGTGTGTGCTCTCGCCACCCCCCTTCTCCTGCTTCCTGCTGTTCTGCACCTCCCTTGGCCGGGGGAAGCATCGGTGCTCCTGCCCCTGCCCAGCAGCCAGCTTCACCGCAGCTCCCTCCCTTCTCCTTCCAGAGCAGAAGCGTGATGTCTATGACCGTTACGGCAAGGACGGACTCATGGGGGCAGGTGAGTGGGCAAGCGGGGCCATGGGGGGCTAGAGCGGCTCTGGATATGGCCTCGTCCGAAGACCTGCTGTGGGTCTGTGCCCCCTGGGGCTCCACGCCTTTGGGGGGTTCCCCCCCAGGGATCCACTTAACTCTGCGCCTCTTCCTTC